AAGAATATATATTGTCTTGAAAGAAGATAATTTATTGTTTGGAAGCTTTCAAATTTTTTAAAAACACAATATGAAAAGAAATAAATGTATTTTTTTAATTGACGATTTTTTAAACTTTTCAAGTGCAAACTTCATTTTCTTTTTCTCCTTTTGAGTGTTTCTTTTATTAAGTTCATGTTCTATTTTTATTTGAGTTTAGATAATTAAAATGAAAAAAAATATATTTCCACTGCTTTTCCATGTAAAAATTTTGATAATTACATTTATCGAACTACTACAGATATAAAATAAAATTAATTGATAAAGATTACACTTTAAAGAAAGTTTCAAAACTACTTGATTAACACTATTCTGTTTTTGCGTACCTCGTGTGAAGCAACACCAGAATTTAAGTATTTTCTTAGCTATTTGAATATTAGTCACATAAAAGCAGGACAATTTTTAATACTTAAATTTTATTTAAAAGCGAACACAGTTTCCCTTTTTTGAAATAGAAAAAATAATTAATAATTATGAATTTATTTAATAATTTTTTTCCACTCTATTGACTTTACCTCAAGTTTTGATTACCTTGAAAGCTAAAAATTAACTTTTTATTTAGTTCAGCGATTCAGTTATTTGAACAAATCTTATTCGAACAAATCTTATTTGAACAAATCTAGGTTCAGGGAGGCAACTTCAAAATCTTAAGTAGGTTACCCAGGTTGCAAATTTGAATTCTTCAAATAAATAAACAAACAGATAATAAGACTTATAGGATTTTGCATTTTAGTTCACACACAGCAGGATTATCGCAAAAATGAGGGAAGAATTGTTTAAAATTGAGATATCTCGGGAAATAGATGTGAATTGTTTAGAATTTAGATACCTTTATAAATACACGTGAACTGTTTGAAATTGAAACAGTTCCTGAAATACATGCGAATTGTCTTAAGTTGCGATATCCCGTGAAGTACTCACGAATTGTTCAAAATTGATATAGCTCGTGAAATACATGCGGTTTGTTTTAAATTAATATATCTTGAGAAATTCACGTGAATTTTTCAAAATTATGATATCCATTGAAATACACATGAGTTATTTAAAATTGAGATATCTCATGAAATACCTGTCAGATGTGGAAAAAAGTTAATGAAAGTTTGATTTCTTAAAAACATCCTACTCAATCGTATCAAATTTGACTTCCAGGAAGAATGGATTAAAAAAATTTTTTTATCGAATATTTCACCATTGCTACAAATTTTTAGACATCGTGTACAACGAAACGTTTACGTTAGTATTTTGATGCATTCTATGGCTCTAGTAGTGAAAAAAGATTGCTTCTGAAATGTCAGAAATCCAATTACACTTTCTACCATGCATCGCTAAAGAAACACAGGAGATAGGCTTAGAACACTCTTGATAACGATTCTTTTTAAAAAGCGGGTTTTCATTGTCGTTCACAATTCCTTCTTGTTCGGGTATCGATACTAAGCGGATTGGACTGCAATTCTTTGCATGGAAAGGGTTCTCATTGCATTTTAGCTTTTCTTTGAGATCAGGATTAGATGCAATGCTGACATTTCTCTTTTGTGGCAAATTTAATTAATTTCAACAATGAGAGGGAATGTTGGTAAACATTAACGCCAATCTGCAGCATATGGTTATTTTTCAGCTTTAAATATTTCCCATCGCGTAGCTTTACGTTTAAATCAGTTTTAAAAGTTAACATTTTGTATTTTTTGGCGAAATTATGAGATTCAAAAGTTAAACAAGTATTTTGCTAAGCATTAGTTGTGGTCATTTTTCAGTATTTAAAATAAGTGGTATCTTATTAGCTATTGATGGGGAGTTACGTTTCGCATATTATTATTATTTAATTAGGGGGTCTAAATTTAAGCGCTATTTCAATTTAAGCAAGAAGCTCTTAGGTAATCATTTAATTGTCCGCTTTATATGTTAATCCATACATGACAATTACAAGAAAAATAATCGTGGTTATTCTTACATGAAGAACAATAAGCATTAAGTACTTAAATCAAGCACTTTCTTTTAAACAAATTTTCTTTTTCGCAGATAATCTAAAAATGTATATTTAATCTAAAAATATTTTCCAAAAACTCTTTGTTCATCCATTAATTACAAAGTTACTTGAAATATCTTGGCCTGTTCCTCTTTTTTAATAGATAAGTTTAATTCAAGACTTGTATATCTTATAATTTTTCTCTTTTCTTTCAAGTGAGTTTAATAACTGAAGATAAGCATATTTGCAATATTTCCCTTGTTCCAAGTAAATTAACTAACCTTGAAATTCGTTTATCTCAGTATCAGCTTTCATTTCAGAATCAAAACTTTGGTCTTCTCACATTCAGTACTATTGTTAAACTTAGACGGGTAAGTGGTTTAATCTTTCACCTTATTAAAGTTTGCATATTTTTATAATGTTTTGATTTAAATTATGGATATTTATGATTCAATGTAGGGTAAACCAACCAGTAAAGGAACACTACCCAGTGGAGGAACATTTCATATATATTGATTAAAAATAAGAATTTGAAAGTTTTTCTTTAGATTGATTGGTAACAATAGTTTACTGCCAAACAGTAGGAAGTTATCTAGCAATGATTACCTGGTCAAATAGACTTCTCTGGAAAAATTTTTGAATTTGTTATTATCTCTGCAGCACCTTGTTTCTTTGAAAAAATTATAAGGTGAGTGTTTGAATTTATATGTTTGAAGTGGAATTAATTGCATGCAATAGTTTTATTTTTCTCACTGTGAAAAAGAGAATTCAAAATATAGTTATTGAAGTTGAGTTTTATTTATTTATTTTTTTAAGCATTATAGCATAATAAAGTACTGAGATAAGGGGGTGCTTATTCACTGGATCACCAAACGATGAAAAACCAGTGAAGGAACAAGTGATAAACTTTCATTTTCTTTAGTGATGTTCCGCATCAAAAGTATGTTAAAAATACGAAAAACAACTTCTAACCAGTGAGGGAACAGGCATGTTCATTCACTGGGCATAGATTTCCCAGTGAATGAACAGTATGTGTTAATATGTTGACACTTTAATTTTCAATTCATGATTACAAAAAAAAGTCAAAATTTTCCAAGTATTTATATGTTATAATTTCAAGAATAGGCTTGTTTTTAAATATTTGTATGGCTTATAAATTCATAAAGAGCATTAAAAAATAACCAAAATTAAGTGTTCCTTTACTGGGTGTGCATTCACTGGTAAGAGCTGTTCCTTCACTAGCTCTTCTTACTACTTGTTATTTGAACCTTCAAAACTTTAAAACAATATTATGTAAGCTCTTTACAATTTTTTTACATAATTTGCAATTAGTGACAAATGTGTTGACACTGTCATTTAACTAAAATTACGAATTTTGAAATTAATATGATTTTTTAAAAGGCAAGCGAAGCTTAAGTGTTCCTTCACTGGTTAGTTTATCCTATAATCGATATTTCTGATAGTGTATTATACTGGGAAATTTCTTAGTTAAGGGATACACTATACATTTATAATCCTCAATATATGTTTCATTTCCTTATTTAAAAAAAAGTTTATATTTCATTTCTTCTTCTAATTTTATTACAAATTGATCTTTTTATAACATTTTGATGAATAAATCAACGCCTTCTAATTTGCATCTAAATGAAGCATACAATAAATACTATGGACAACTCTTATTCTCCACCGACTCGCTGTGAAATAATAGAACGAAACTTCATCACAATAAATCTCCCTCTTTGAGTTAGTGCGTTAATATAGAACATCCCATTCAGTGGTCACACAAATCCTTCTAAAATCGACAAATGTGCAAATGCTTTAGACGGACGATGAGAATAGGGATGGGCGTTGCAAATGACTGCCACAGTAGCAACTGAATAACATTTTGAGTCAGACAAATCTTTTCCCCCTTTTAGTAATTAAGAGAGGATTTCGGCAGAATGGAGTTGTCGTCCGTTATTTAAACAGATGTTTTAACTCAAATGCATAATAGCGGGTGATTTTTGGCTTTGTTTCCCCCAGGTAAGTACTTAGGTGCAGGTGTTTTCTCCAGCATTTAAGGAAATGAGTTCCCTGGTTTGTATTCAACAGTGTAAAGTCAAATTATTCATAATGTTGTTTCTTTTTAATCCTAGGACTGCTTCGTGGTGACATTCTTATCAAACCCCCTGCAATGCAAATATTTGCATGTGTTAATTATTCTCAGAGTGTGAATAAACTGAGTATTTAAATGATCTTAATATGAAAGTTCTGAGTTTGAGGCATATAAGCATACTGGTTGTCTTTCCAAGCCATTATGCAAAACGCAGTAAATTCCACACAAAAACGTGACAGTGCATAAAAGTGTCATTGACACTAAGTTAAAAGATTTTTTTGTTGCTAATTTGGCATTAAAAAGTGTACATTCGGCCATTACAATAAAACTTGTTTGAACTTTAAAACGAGCATAATATACAACTGATATTGTTAGTCTTTCTATACGTACCCACCTCTTTTGCCACTGTAACTGTCCTAAACTTTCTATCCGCCTATTGAAATAGGGATTTATAAAGTTATTAATATTCTATTATTTTTTAAACCCTTCACTGAACTGATAGTTCTTCGCCATGGAAGGTACCAGAAGTGTTGCTCATTTTGCGATGATGAGCACCTTATGACCAGAATCACGGAGGCGAGCAACATTGCCCAGGCCATACTGTCATAGATACCCGTTCATAGGGTGTACTACATTCATACATCCCACACAACAGAGGACAAAACACAGAGAAAAACATCCATGAAATGAGAGGGATTCCAACCCACGGCCTTTGACTTCCCAGTCAGGTACGTGAACAGCTCTGCCACCTGGCCGGTTGATTTAGAAAGTAAAGAAATCAGCTTACTTTTTAAATTTTTAATTAGAGTTACAGTAAGTTAAAGTACATAATAATTACTTCATATTATAATCATTACTTATTATAAAATTAATAAATAAATATTTTATATCCAATCTTTGCTAAATTTAGCTGTATTTAAATAAATCCATCTTCACTCGATTAGAGGCAGAATAAATAAGCTTTCAAAATTACTTAAACTTTTCTTTTTAATTTTAACTTGTAATTACCATTTCTTCAATTCACTGCAATAATTTAAAAAAAATGGTAAATAAAGTACTTCAGTATCGAGCAAAAATCCTGAAAGCTGAAACGCCCACAAGTGGGTGGTAGGGACCAACTTGACAGCCAACTGTGAAAAATACAACTGGAAATAGCAACCTTTTTAACAAAAAGAGAAAAAATATTAAAAATAAATTAAAGTGGATGCACTGACATACATGGCAGCTTCGTCAAGGGGGAATTACCATGCAGACAGTGCAGGAGCAGTTTCAGCGATTGGTGGTATTATATGGCAATTATAACTGTTTCTCTTCAATTTTAATATATATATATAATTATATTTACATTAAATCATATACATAGTTATTATTATTATACACTTAATATATTATCATAATCTTAATAATTTCAGTACATTGGAAGAATAAGCTGCTAATTCATGAAATATAAACTCGTCTCATGTTTCATGTCGTTTTATGTTCATTAAAATTCAGATATATTTTAATTTAGCGCTTGATACTTTTTTTTAAAGAATATGTATTCTGTGATTCAGCCATGCAGTGCAGTATTAACTCTAATCCTAAAAGTAACAATGAGCGTTGAAAATTTCATTCCGATAAGCACTGAACAGAATTTTACCGATACACTGCAATGTACTACAAAGTAATTTTGACGATCCAATCTAATGACAATTCGGTTTATGAGATGCTTTTATTGTGATCCGAAATAAAAGGGGGGTTTGGTTCTTGGATCAAGTCCACTGGAGCATTGACTCTCTATTTCGGATACAATTACTCCATCTGCACGAGTCATTATTAAGCTCCAATCTGTACCGAGAAGAGACGAGACTAATATGAGGCTATCCTTTAGCCGCCGTCAAGCTATTGTCCAGGTGTAGGGGCCGGAACGGACAGGAATGGGACGGACTACTCCGAATGAAATGCAAATGAGTGTTTCTCATCCAAGCTAGATCCGTCAACTGACCTCATGGTTGAACTGCCAGAATGGATATCAAAAGGATATAGTGGCTTGATCGTCTCTTTACGCCTTGGTTGTTCTGGTCAGTGGATTACTGAAATAAAGCGAGAATATTGGGTGGATCAAAGGGGATATAATCTCATTTTAAGTATAATATAATGTTCAAAAGTTATTAGATATTCATGAAGTAAATCTGAACCAACTATTCATAAAATGAAATGTAAATGTAGTGAAACAATGATTCGCCATAACAAAACTGTAGATGACAAAACCATATTTGGTATTTTTTATTGAAAAGCCATACCTTTTGGCAGTAATAATTATACACTACGGGTCGAAACCTCCTGTCTGTCACTGCTCACCAATTTCCATAATTGATTTATTCTTATTTTTATTCAACATGAAACAGTTTTTCTTTCCTTAAAAGCTAAAATTATTCCTTTAAAATGTTTAGACTGAATAGTATCAGACTTTTTACGTTTATGCATACGACTTCCCACGTAAAAAACTCCATTTATGAGTGTGTTAAAAATTAACTGTGAACAAAAATCATTTTGCTTAGTAATAATTTTATTGGAATATCACTGCTTTAAATTTAAACTCTAATTTCGCAAAAAAAAAGTTAAATATTTACCCTTACAACTTCATCGACATTTTTTCTCTTTAAACGTCTTTTAAATTCTTGGTTGCTATGAGAACTCGTTCAATTGTTTTAGCGAAAGAGAACAAATGAAATTAATAAAAATACAAAAAATTATTTCCCTATAATGGCTTGCAATTTTGTATTCATTATTTTAAATCATTATGTTGAGTTCAAACAGTTTTACACGGAGCTTATTATGAACTTACTCTTTAGTGGTTGTAAAACAGTTAATAAGTTTAGATTCTGATTTAAGTATGTTCATTACAAATTGCTGAGAAATAAGGTTATATTATAGGATTATTTTCTAATGAAGATTCATCGCCTGAAGTTTTAAGTCTTATTTATTTTAGAAAAATAATAAAAATCATGAGATAATAATCAAAATAGAATAATAATCGAAATAATCAAATCAACCAGTCTTTAAAGTTGGGATAAAAAAACTACCACAATGGAGAAGTTTTGTATAGCGTTTGCTTTATGCGTAACATTAAAATTATTTTCTACCACTTGAAAAATACTGATCGTTGTAGGGAAATTTTCGAGCATGTGCTGAGGAGTTCAAGTAATTTTAACAAGAATTTGTAACTCCTTGTACTATCTTTAAAATTTTTGTAAATTTCGTATTCTTTAAGTAAAATTTTTGTGAATTTTTTTCTCACATTTTTTGCTTTACTTTACATTTTGCTTTGCTGCTCAAAATACATCAGAAATTCCGAAGATTTGTAGAAAAATGTACAGGGAATGGAATAAAAAAAAATTACGATTCAAAAATTAGCTTGAGAATTATTAGCTGTTAAGCTTGTAGTAAAAAGTAACCATTTTGGTCTATCCACTGCCAGCTGAAAGGTACCTACAGAGCTGATGGGAATATTTTGTATGATAATTTTAACGAGAGTCATTTTTTCAAAATTCCTTTTTGTTCGAACGTTACAGTGAATTTAAGCACTTTTTCGTGAAATTTCAGCTTTTTTGCTTTAAATAATATTTATTGATTGTTGTAGAAAATTTATTTTTTCCTCACGAAATCATTATTTTTTTTTATTTTATTAGCTTTTAATTAAATGTCTTCAAAGGTAGAAAAGAGCGAGAGAGAGATTGCATAATTGCTGATATAAAGGTACAAATCCTAACATTTACAGTGAAATTTTGAAAAATAAAATTAGAAAAAAAACAATAAAGATCGATCAGAATCATTTCCTATTTGAATTGTTATAAGTTTCATTAAAGAGTAAAATTACTCCTCATTTATTTCCTCTTATTGAGTCACACGATTTGTTTTTTTGTAGGTAAAACTTTTCTTTTTCAAGTTCAGACGAGTTCAAGTTATTATTCAAATCCAGGAAATTACCCATTACGCTATGATTAACATATTAACAAAATATTCTTACGTAAAGCTAAAATAACTGCGTATTTTGAAACCAAAATATTCTTCTGGAATGTGTTAGAAACTACAAGGATACGGAGTTGAGGATTGGTTGTCGTAGACTCAAAATAAGATCGACTGTTCAACGACGGTTATAAATTAAAAACAATTACCATAATAATCTCTTACAATCGGGCTAAATATAGGAGGTTTTCGTAGTTTTTTCTCCGTGTAACGCACATATGCGCAAATTTCGCCTGACAAACCTTGCCACTTGTTTGTTGCTTGATCAAGGAGTTACTCTATATTTTGGAGGTGAAAAATTACAAGGATATAGAGATGTAATCATAACACTCACTTTATTAAAATATGTTTTAAATATCCCGCGTTTTGCAAAAGCTATAATAAATAGTATAGAGAATTTGGTTCAGTAAAATAAAAAATGACTATTTAAATATAAAGTTAAAAAGAGGTCTCAACTTTACAGCTAAGTTTTACATTAATCATTTTGCATCTGAAGAATTATTTAAAATTTCGAACTTTTTTTTTAAATTTCGCTGAAGAAAATGAAAAGTAAACAAAAAATTAAATAAAAGCGCGTTTATATTTATTTAGGCATGCCATTAATTTCATAAGAACAATATCGTGTAAAACAATTAAATGCTTTTTATATTGTTTTGCGCAAATGTTATAATATCCGTCCAGGTACCTGGAATCAGCCTGGTAATAAATCCAAAATTTACCGGGTACTCGGAACCGACCGGGTAGTAGATAAAACTTTTTGCTGGTTACCCGGAACTGGTCGATCAAAATATTTATTTCTTATCAGTTACCCGGAACCGGTCGATCAAAGGATTTATTTCTAATCATTTACCCGGAACCTGTCAATCAAAAGATATATTTCTTATCAGTTACCCGGAAAAGGTCGATCAAAAGATTTATTTCTTATCAGTTACCCGGAACCGGTCAATCAAAAGATTTACTTATCAGTTACCCGGAACCGGTCGATCAAGGGATTTATTTCTTATCAGTTACCCGGACATTGCAAAAATTTAAGACCCAGTACATGTTTTAAGAAAACGTGACATATTAAACTAAAATAATTTAAAGAAAAATTTAGTAATTTTTTATGGTTTATTAACGCTGAAAATTTTTTATTACAGATACATTTATTTTTCGACAGAAAATACTTTTAATTAAAAGGAAAAAAATCCCTTTTCAACGAAAAACACATTAGTTTGATAGACGTCATTACAGATTCTTTAAACGAACATTATGATTTTTCTTTTCTTCTCTTTTTTGTAAGAAAGAAATTTTGTCTTGTTTCTTTTCTCAAAGAACCAATAATTTTCATAAATGAGTTGCATTTTTCCAAGCTTGCATTATGGTTCAAAAACAATCCCTTTGTTAACACACGCATTTATATAAAAAAGTAAAAAATCAATCAAAAAACAATGAGCCATCTGTGTTTTCCATAGTCCAACCATGGTCGTGAGAAATTTGCCTCATTTAATCCAGCTAATGATCCATATCACAACCTAAGTTTTTCAACCAATTAACTAAATTACAATTTGGTTTCACACCATAGTACCAGATGTTCTGTCCAGCAGCCAGCGAAACAGTCGCGAATTTCCATTTATACTCATGTGAATCTACGTTAAGCGAATGGAACGAAACGCTTGAATCTCAATTACCACACATGGATATTATAGCCACTGTCAACTTATGGGCATAAATGCACCTTATCTTTTATTAGAGCGCTCACGGCAAGGGGGCGCTATCGTGATGATACCAGCTGCTGCAAGACAAATACCGCCTTTTGGAAAAGAAATGCGGCTTCTGATGAAAAGATATTAATAGCTAGATCATAAAGTATGCAGTTTTATAGTTTGAGGGTGTTTTGCGACTAGAGTTTCGATCGACAATTTGTCACATTAAAAGATCTTATTTCGGGGTCGAGTATATTCTTAAATTCTTTATCTGAGAAGGAAATTCTTGTAATATTATTTTTTAATCAAGACTGTTGTTTTTTACTGTTGAAGTAGTTATATACTGCTTAAAATATTTTAAGAAATTTAAACAAAAATCATTTTAAGGTTAAAATGGAACAAATTATTTCGTTTATCCTTTATAAAGCTAATATACTTTATTCATTAATTTAACCTTAAAATAACTTTTTAAACCAATATCAAAAATGCACAAGCCTATTATTTTAATTTAAAAGGTAGTATTATAATCAAATATACGCTGTAAAAAAATTTCATGTATCTATACACCAAAAATGATAGCAACTACTTGACACCAAAGAGGTGTTACTTGAGAGGTACTTGACACCATAATTTGTATATCTGAACATCAAAAATGGTAGCAACTGTGACCAAAGAGGTGTTACTTGAGAGGTACTTGACACCATAATTTGTATATCTGAACATCAAGAATGTAGCAACTACTTTTGACCAAAGAGGTGTTACTTGAGAGGTACTTGACACCATAATTTGTATATCTGAACATCAAAAATGTAGCAACTACTTGTGACCAAAGAGATGTTACTTGAGAGGTTCTTGACACCATAATTCGTATATCTGAACATCAAAAATGGTAGCAACTACTCGTGACCAAAGAGGTGTTACTTGAGAGGTACTTGACACCAAAATTCAACGACAATTTCTGGTGCTGGGAATTCCAGGAATTTTTTACACTACTTGGTGTAAAGCAGATAACAACGCGTTTAATGTTTAGTTACATTAAGATATTATATACAAAAATAAGTAAATTTCTTTTTTAAGAAACAGTATAAAGTAAGAATCAGGGATTTAGGTTGCATACCTGCACTTACTCTTAAAATAAAATGAGTTTGTAAATGATACATACGTGTAGAATTATGCATTATTTATATGAATATAAATTATACATTATTTAAATTATTTAATACAGTTTACAGAGACTTGAAATTTATAATATAAATATCCTTATTACACAACTGAAAGTATACATACATATTTTAACTGCGAAATTTAGTTTCTGCAGAGGAAGAGCAGCTAAGAGGATAACAGCAAATACTCGCCAACTCTTAATCGATTGCAAACAATTGCAGACGAAATAAAAACGTGCCCACATCGGAAGTGCCTATGGAGAAAAATATCTATGAAAATATAGGAAGGAAACGTATGGTGTAAAGGCGAGTCAGCTTGAAGTAAACCTTTTTGAATGTTTGGTATTTACAAATTTCATATAACCTTTAAATTGATATGAAAGCTTGGTTTGGTGTTAGCTTGAAAAAAGTGTTCCTTTACACAACTTTTAGGGTTGTTCAACATTGTATTCGGGGGGATATTATACACATTTTTATAGTTTTTTCAGTTTAAATACACTGTTGAAGAATAAAAATTACGTTGTGAATTCTACGTGAAATAACTTCGTCAGCAACACGTTGTTTAAATAAATGAAAAAGAAAAAAAGTTTGAAATGAAAATTACAATATGCTTGCGAAATTGTTAGAATGCAAATTATTTCTTTGCAAAGAACACGACGTGATCAGAAGAAAAACGCATATCAACCTGTAGCATTTATTATTTAGAAACAAATTAAAAACAGTTTACATGAAATCGAATGTAACATCTTTAAAGACAGTTGTCATTCCGGTAGCAGTAAATACGATGTGGATGTCTCAGAAAAATATTACTGAGATAAACTAATCAAGAGAGACATCGCTCAGCAATACAAAATGACGATCGGACGAATGATGCCAACACAAAATGAGGATCGGTATTACGCACTGAGAACGAAAGAAACAAGGTGGAATGCCACTTTATTGCATTCAGAGGGCTACTGATTCCAGAGTTTCAATTCCGAACCAATTCCATTCCATTTTCTTACTGGGAGACGTATAGTTCATGTTCACTATGCAGGGAACAACCGTTCTGCATGCAAATGCATTCAATGAATACAGACATCCACATCGTAAAAGAAGTGATCATCTCAGAAGTGATGATTGGAGCAACGTGCTATCCATGAGAGAGTCCGGCTTCAACGTTTTTCCTGACAATAGGCGGATAGTTATCCACGAAATGAGTGGTGATTAAAATAATGCTGCATCTGAGCAAGAAAGTTAATACTTTTATATTTTATTTTATAACTGGTGTTGAACAACCGACCTAATTCTGAGTTTACGACTATCAATGTTCATCCTCGTAGCCTTGTTTTTTTAACCTAATCCAGAAGACAAGGCTACGATCTCCTGGATGGAGCATCAGGGCAAACTACCCTTCGTAAAAGTTTTTTTACTGGAACTACCTCGCATTTGCGATACACAGAGAGGAAAATTACGAAAACCTACCACGGTTGGCCCAACAGTAAGGGAATTCTAACCCATGCTCTATCTAGCACTGAAGATTTGTTTTATGTCAGCACTGTTGCCGATGCAAGCCGGGAACAGAATATGTATCGACCATCCAACTCTAAGATTCGAACCTTCACCTTCTTGGGAGGTAAGGGCTCTATTCCCTAAGCCAACATGGTTTAAAAATATCTTATTTTGTGGTGGTCACCGACCACAGTTCTGACGTAAAATATCCTCAGCAGTAGAAGGATCATGGGTTAGAGTCCCCTTCCCGTCAGGCTAACCGTAGAGGTTTTTCGTGATTTTTCCTCTCCATGTAACACAAATGTTTATTAGTTCCATCAAGAAACCCATCAAGGCGTCAAATTTCTCTCAATACTTGATCCAGGAGTTCCCTTCTCTTCTGGATTAGGTTCAAAATTGCAATATATATATATAAATATACATTGTTGGGGGTAAAAAATTACAAAATTGCCAGTTAAGAGTAAATCAAACTCACTGTAGTATCTGACAACTATGATTTAAGCTTTAAAACCGGTATAGTAACTAATTCTAAATTTTAAACACACATTTTAGACTTAAACAATCCTAACTATGGGTGTAACTTTTAACCCTACTTTAAAGATCATTTAAAATTTTCCTTACTTAATATAAAAAATGTATCCCTAAAAATATATATGAAATTGAAAATTTATTTCTGCTTTTTAATTATTATTATTTTTGTACAAAGAACATTCGAATGAAATATACAATGTGCTCAGAAACACGCGTTTTACCTCAGCTTTAATTACAAAATCGAAATGATGATAAAAACAAAGACAAATGCTAATTATACTCCGAACTTTCAACGTGCAAATCTACGAGAAAAATACATTATTTTATGTTATTCAGGAATTCTCTCTGTCAATTTATCCTTTTAATAACGAAAAAAATAAAAAATACAAACGTCCATTTTGAAGCACTAATTACAGATATTTAAAATTATGAATTATCTCTTTCCGTGAAATGGAATTTAATTTTTATTCTTCTTCTGAATATGATTACATAGGTAAATAAAATTGCTTAGGAGATATAAATGGCTTTTCAAATTAGTTTCTTATTTCTAAAACCTAGATTGTTATGTTTTATTGATTGTTTATTTATAGCTTTGTTTTCTAAACAAACAAATTCATATAGACATAAACAAGCTCTTTTTATAGATAATTTGAAAACATCGTAACATTATGTATAGTTTGAAAAATTAAAAACATGCTACCATGAATAGCTTTTGAGCTAATGATAGAAACTTCACTCTTTAGGATTCAATCGATGGGGTTGATCTCAAATATGCTAATTAACTAGTGTAGACGATATTTTTAGTTACGAAATCAGACACAAAAACGTACTTTTTCAGAATAAGTATAGCTTTTTCTGATAAATTCGGATTTCTGTACCCCGAAATACAGGAAATAGCCGCAGTTTTGGAAATATGGTCCCAATAGATTGTTCAAGAGAGAGCTCAAAAATTTGAACTCCTTAATGTTAATATTACTTTTTGTGTATTTCGCTCTATCTCTCCACTAGTGTTAAAACATTTTTGCACGCAATTACGAAATTCATTTTTCAGGAGATAATTTCATACAAAATATAACTTTTAGTAAATATATATTATTTTATTTAGTACTAAACTCAGTGGTACGACAGCCCATAGAGGGCCAAGGCCTACTGTGCCCATCTCAGTTTTCTTGACCTTGGGCTCTGGGGTGCAGGAGCAGATGTTCCGGTTAGGTGGTCAGCCGAACGCGGAACCCCCAGTGTTTAGTTCCCAAGCGTGCTTGGTACACATTTATCGACCCACTGAAGGAATGAAAGGCTGAGTCAACCTTGCCCGGCCCGAGGATCGAACCCAGGACCTGTGGCAGGAGAGAGCGAAGCGTTACCACTCAGACACCGGGCTTACTAATAAGAGACGAAAAAATTTTGAATCATAAGATATACACTACTTTACATCATTTTAAAGAACACAAATTTCAATGACAAAATAAAAAATTTGAGCGAAATCGGTCGAATAGTTCCGTGGTAGTAAAAACTTACGAATCAACCATTTCGCTTCACACACAAATAAAATAGAATGAAAACATTAATTTACAATAACAGCAATACTTATTTGCGTACTAAACGTCTTAAGTTCAAAGAGAGTAATTAAATTTAAATTAAAGTGTATTTTTAAGAAAAGTTGCACGGTATGTATAATACAATTATTTCCATATATATTTTATATGAAGATTTTCATATGATTTTTCGATATTTTTATTGGCAATTATTTATTTAAAGAAAGAAAGACAGTACCATTGTAAATGTATTCCACACATGAATCACTGGAATCAATTAAATGCACAGTGCGCTGAATAATTTAGTATAGTTAAGTGGTCTAGGCTTATCTAATTATCTGGTTTTTACATACCTATATGCAATTTTAATAATTTGGTGGGTAAAAAATTTTACGGACAATATTTTAAATTATTAAATCAGACTAGATAGCCGTACTTTCTCTGAATAAACATAATTTTTATCGAAGGACTTAAGTTTTTAACCCACAAAATATGGGGGTATATGATTATATATATCGGAAAATATGATTCTACAGAGTGGTAAAAAATCCCGGCCTCAGTAATAATTTCATTATTTGATCATTTTGCCATATTTCTTAAGCAATTTATGCGAATAAAATAACTTTTTGTACACAATCATTGGACTTATTTAGCCAAAGATAATTCAGCATCAATTTCTTTAATAAATATTTATTATAAAACTCAACATTAGAATTTTATGGAATATTAAATATTCTTAAATTTTATATTTTGCCTTAAAAAATTATACAATCTAGGAGAAAGTTAAAATTTGAATATCTCACGAATTAAAAATTTTTTTTTGTTGATTAAGAAAATAATAAAAATTATTTTTGTATCTATTTTTTAAGGGATAAATGAGTTTAATAATGTTGTGCAAAATTTAACGAGTTAGTTCTATTATTTCCAGAGATAAAATTAACATTAACGAGAGTGAATAGAACAAACATTAGCTAAGCTATTACGCCATATTTTTCAAAAAGCGTCTCGCCTCAATTTTGTGGGTCAAAAATCTAAACCAGTCTAAGAGTAGATTTGTTTTTTGCTTTTTTTTGTTCTGATGAAGTACCTTTTTGTGTCTGATTTTGTAAACTATTATAATATCATCTACAGAATTTAATTATGAAATTTAATCTCAATCCCCCAAATCAATTTCGCCATAAATTAAAGAATATTGTTATTAGGGCAAAAGTTAATCTGTTTATGTATTTTATATCCCTGTTCATCAGTTCTATTCTGAAAATGCTTTCTAAATTCGCTATTTTACTTACATATAAAAAAATATTAATTAAAATTAGATATTAGATTTTCTTCCTCGTTTTTGGAATGCCTTTGACTTTATTTTCGATGTGTTTTTTAATCAATTTTTCGAGTCATTATTTATTTTGATCAAACACCCTCTGCACTTAAGTCGTTTTCGATAACTAACATACAAACACGATAAAATCGAGAACAAACATTCAGTTTATTTTCCAATGTTATAAACAAAAAATCGAAGATTCGATGCGTAATCATGATATGGTCCCTCTTCTAGCACAAAATCATGCACTGCAGTGTCATCCCGCCCTTAGGGACACTCCGACTTTGACAGATGGTGCTCTGGCGTGTCGTCCGTCGCAGAGTTTTGCGCCCTTTCCTGATCACTAATGCGCCCCTGCAACGCCCCAGATAGGACCTCG